CACACACACACACACACACAAACACACACACAGACAACCCCGTGACAATATGCGTTTTGTACTGCTATCACACAGCACAAAAAGCATAAAAAACGATAAATTCTGTGAAGAAATAAAATTATTGTAATTAAAACCCAGAAAAGTCAGCATATTGCAAAGAAATGTTTCGGTCCATTAAGCTGTATACATTTCTTGACACTGCCACAACTGGACCTCGTCAGTAGGACGGTTGCAGTAAAGACGTAATTGGGATTTAAAAAGAAAACAGACAAAAAGTAAACATTCCACAGACTTGGCGTATAAGCAATTGGTACTTGCAGTGAGGGAATGATCACTCATACGGGACGCTGGTGTACACACAACAGATGTTCGGTGGCTGGCAAAAACTTAAGTTATGCAACTCAGAGTGAATGGGCTTGGTCACAGCAGTGACCAAGGTGTGGATATATCACAGTGACTCCACACTCACAATCTAAGCAGCCTTGATAATATATAAAAATTTCGCAATTTTTAAAATTTTTGCTTTTAGAATAAAATTTGAGTCAAAAACTTACTTCCGCTCGAAAAATGATATTTTTTTCGCTCACAGCAATGGGCTTTCGATATTCAAATATTAAATCTTTGAACTGATAGGCTCCGGGAAGCGAGATCAAATGATCGAATGCAGCAACCAGATGTGCATACTGAAAGCAATCATAACAATCACTTTATCATGTAGGTTCTTCAAAAGTAATATACTTTAGGTACCAATATCATGTTTCTAATTTCCTATATTGCACATCCTAGTAATCTGGCAAGTATGAACCAATGATAAGTATCACTGCTATCGAGCTGAAGGTCAAAAGTTCCACTTTTCTAGTGGAACAGCCAATCCCTCTACGATCCGTTTATTCGTTTGGATGGGAAATTGGTATGGGCATACGTCAGGGAGTCAAACCCACCGCCATCAGCTTGCTTCTAAGCAACACTTGCAAGAAAAAGCTATCGATAGCCTTGTCAACGTGTGGTTGCTGCTAGCACGTGCTTCTGCATTTCTCTGCTTCTCTTGCAGCGTGATCGCAAAGAGGGTTTCGACTTTCGAAAGAACCAATCTTGCTTTACATTAAAAAAAAAAACCTCAAAACCCCCTCCTATTAACTCAGTATGAGAAGTATAGGTATTCGGGAAGTAGGCCAAAAGGTAGTAACTTTCAACAACAATCACCCGCTCGCAAAGCTACTGACAGCACCCTCTTTCGACGACGGTTGCTTATAAGCAAGTTGATGGCGAGTTTGACTCTCTGGTACATGTCAGTATCAATTTACCATCGAATCGGCTGGAAAATCATAGAAGGATGAAAAACAAGGGCTACTGTTGTTTGAAACAGAATACAACCAACCATTTCATCTGATATTCGTTCTTCAAATCTGTCTTTCAACATTTCCAACGTAATCCATTCGGTGCCCAAAAGTTCTCTGAATGGAGCCAGTGCATAAACGGAATATTCAGAAAACATTTTTGATGAATTTAAATTCAAACATGGACCGAAACATTTCTTACCAATCACAGATATTTCAGTACTCCCCTTCCCCTTTTTCCACTTCGCCCTCTTTCTCTTCTTTTTCTTTTTTTCTTCATTTTCTAACTTAGCTTTAAAAGCTTAACTGGCAAAAACTGTATTTTCACGGAAACTGAAAAATTGTGCTCAGAAAAATTCAAAAGTTAATTAAAAATATGCCCTCCTGATTTATCAAGTTAAATTTCATTTCAGATTTAGCTCACTTCAATCTTTTTCGCAATAAAGTTCATTTCAATCTTTTTCGAAATTTTTCAAACTATAGATACAAACGAACATACATACAGGAAATGCATATATTTAGAATAAGGATTAATTTAATTTTATTTTAATTTATGATGAAATCTTACAACTTTGGGTCTTCCGAAGGTGACTCAGCTGCTGCTTTTAGTTTTTGCGGTCTACGCTGTAGTGCTTCTGTATTATTCCCAATAACCTGAAATAATTATTCGAACTGTAAATCAAAACTCTATGCGCATTTGCTCTCCATAAGGAGGGGCGGGGGAGAGGGGGGAGGGAGAGTTGGAAGCCAAAAGCAATAAACCGCTGGCAAGACTATCGATGCTTCGTGTTTCCGCGGATTTCTTAGAAT